TTCAAGTAGTTAACTGAAATTGTCACTTTTCAACTCGTTGTTTTAGGGTCATAAAGATGTAACCAAAATGAATGTTTTTTAGGAGAGAGTTCCCATTTTAAGAAACTGTGCACATGTGGTTAAATTTGAGTTTAAAAAAAACTAAAAATGCTCAGGAGTACTTTGCTCTATTTTCCAAAAATTCCACAAGAACCATATACTATTTTTATAAACAGAAAATAGAATTTAAAAAAAGTTACAGACAAGCAGAAAGATGAAAAGGCACACAGTGAATGTCAGATCCTAATTACTGCTTAACTCTAATCAGTAAGTCAGAAAAGGTCTCTTCCTAAGAACTTGACACATTTGCGAAATATTATTCTTGAGGAATCTCTATGTCTTACTCAACAAGACGGGGTAAGTCATCAATTTTAGTCTGAAAGGAAGAAATCACGAGAGCCCAGAGCCAAGCCTGCCAGCTCTCTGTAAAAAAGGGAGGACTTAATGAAAAAGATAACAAAAACTGCCAAGTATTCAGACCCAGTTGACTGCTCGCTCCTATTCAAACTAAAATTCAGATTCAACAAGGACCTACTGTGCACTGACTCTGCGTCAGACCCTTCACAGGCATTATCAAAAGACAACAGGACCTCCTGGCTCTTCTACCCTGGGATTACTTTCATTATTATTTGGCTGACATTTTATCTTCTTATACCATCTTTTGTTTTTCCTGTTAAAAAAAAAAAAAAAGTATAAAGAAATCCCCCAACCTGTATTATTTTTCTCTCACTTCTGTTGCTGTTTGCACTTCTCCATTTCTGGGATTTTTGTATTCCTTCCCAGTTCATGTACCTTCTCCACTGTTTATCTCTCCCAGTCCCCACTGTTGATGCTTCCCTGGCCCCATCAACCCCGCCCACATTCACCATTTCCTGCGTTTTCCCAGAACTCACCCAACAGGCTGGTTATTCAGCCCCATCTCTCTAAACCTGAGCATTACCTGCGAGGCAGTTCAATGTTACACTTTTTCATTTAGAGTTAACATCACAATAAAGTATAGCAGTAGTTCTGCATCTGAAATGGAAATATTGGTTTGGCTCCTAATGACAATTTTAGGATGGAAAGAAAACACCGGGACAGTTCCAATTTGCTATCATCTCTGCCTTCTTGGGATTGCAGAGAATATGGGGGTGCAAAGTGATTTAGAACCACCATAGAATTCTAGTGCTTGAAAAGCTAACCCCCACATAAAGAAGACTGAGAGAAGTTAACTAAATTGCCAGAATCCACATTTCCAGCCTCCTCTACTATGCTTTTGATGTCTTAAAATACAACTCTTACCTTAAATATTTTGTTTCCTAACTTCTTATAATGTAACTGCAGTGTAGACCTACCACTGTGTGCCAGCCTCAGTGACCTGCCTATGTTCCTTGGACACAAGAGGCTCACTTCTGCCTCATGGAGTGGAGTGTGCACCAGATGTAGTCCCTGTGCCTGGAATGTTCTTCCCTCCGGTATTTGTACAGCCGGCTCCTTCCTGTCATTCAAGTCTCAGCTCAGACAACTCCACCTCAGAGAGGTCTTCCCTGACCACCCCATCTGAAGCAGTCCTTCCGCATCATTCTCTAGCACGTTACCCTGTCTTATTATTATTATTTTTTAAATCACTATCTGAAATCATCTTTCTTTGTGTATATTCTTATAGTCTGTCTCTCCTGCCAGGATATAAACATTATGAGGGCAGGGACTTATCTGTCTTACCAGTATATGCCTTGTGTGACTAGCACAAGAGTGCGAACCCAAGTAAGTGAATGTAATATTGTATGATTTTTCCCTCTACATTCCTTGAGACAAAATCAAAATGCTGAAAATGACCAGCAATTTTTAAATGCAATCTCAAAAACAAAAGTTGAGCACAATTAACAGTCTTGGAGGAGTTGAAGCAGTTAAGTATGAAAGAGTTCTTCAGAATAGTTAAAGAAATTCTTTCCCACATCATATCAAAGGTCCAACATCTATTTTATTTCTATATGCATATCTATATGTCTGTCTCTCTACCTAACATCATTTACATTTAAAGCAACCTGTCAGGCTAACTGGCTCCTGTCTTAGGGCAGCTTATAACCTAACAGGAAGATAGTATCTAATAGTTCTTGCAGACATAAAACATTTCACACAAAATAAATAGAAGAAAGTAGAGTGGAATGTGGGATTATGTACCTGGTAAATTATTCCCACTTCAGTAAGACTTTCAGTGTTCTGGATGGTGGTAGAAAGCGGAACACAGAATTATTTGAGTAAACTGTTTCCAAGTTTCTACTGCCTCTTTCTGAAGAAAGATTAAGTCCAAGTCAGGCCCATCTGCTCAAAGCTGCTGTGGTTCCTGCTATGTCTATGGGTAAAACCAGCCCTGCTAATATAGCACAAGCGATTGGATGGAAGATGGTTCACCAAGCCAAAGGCAACCACGTAGGGGTAAGTTCAACTGCTTTGGAAGTGGCTGGGTGCAAATTATGCCCAGACTGGATTGTGGTAACCTGATTCTCTTGGATTCCTCTTTTTGGGGAAGCATCAATGCTAGATGCTTAAGGAGAAGGTTGTTATCTTAAATGATACAGAGCTGCTGTTCTGGTTATTGATGAGGCCTGGTGTCCATTCTGGGCCATGTCACATTCTCTGTATCCTTATACCAAGCTCCCCGTTATAAAAAATATCTGGGCACGAGTCTTCCTCACACCATAAAGAGTAAATTCATCTGTAGACCTTAAAATATAATCCCTCTGTCTACACATGAAAGATGGGAAAATTATTTTCTCCATAAACTGAAAATCTGTCAAGTAAGTCCTTGCATAAAAGAATGTTAAAAGTGTGGCCGTTCTCAAATACTGATTGTTGTTGTTGCACAGGGCCGCTACGAGTGGGAATCGACTCACTGGCACACAACAATAACAAACAATGACTAGGGCATACAAAAAAGTAGAACCATTACATATAATTCAATAGTGCAACTGGAAAGTAGCCTCCGTTCCTGTTTCTTTGATCTTATGGATCTAGATTACTCTATAAACAAAAAAAAATAATTATAATAATGGGTAAGATTGAAGTATGGGCCAATACATGTCTGAAAACTGTATACAGACTCAAAGAAGATGGAAGAAAAATATAATAGTTATGGAAATATTACATATTGAACATACAATTATATATATATATTTAGCGGTATAACCTGGTCTCTTTGGAAAAAATTCTGAGGTGATACTTTTTTTCTCAATAAATTTCCCTGTGTTAAAAGGGGCATTTAAAATCATCCCACTAACTCTGGAGCTGCTCTCAAAGTACTGTGGCTGATTTTTAACAACGGCTCACAGTTGCTGACAGAAGTGGTATTTGTTCACTGAAAAGTAGCTTTTAAAGGTAAGGCTTTAGAATACAAGCGACTGGGTTTCAAATCGTGGATATGCCACGACATAATGCCATATGATTTTGGGCAAGTTGTTTAACTGCTCTGAGTTTCAGTTTCCCTATATGTAAAACAGAGAAGTATCTACATCATGAACAGGTGTGAGAAGTGTCCTGTATGTTGTAAGCATTCAATAATATTAATATTATTTTGTTATCTCTACCTTTCTCCTAGCTCCTAGGTTAATTCCAAGTTAAAAGTTCAGCAGTGAAGAATCAGAGCCAACAAAGGCGAATAGGAAAAAAAGCACCTGATAATCTAATAAACTATTTAAAAAAAGAAAGAAAGAAAGAAAAAAGTCCCCCAACCACCCAATGATAACCACTGGAACATCTGAGGGGTAATATATCTAGTCTTTCTTCCCCAGTGAAAATATCTCTGTAGAATTACTAAAACCAGAATAAAACACATATCATGACTATGTACAGCCAGAAACCAATAGGAAAGGTGGAGATAATAAAAAGAAAGCGCAGAGGTAAACTGAGAACATGAATGAGCTGGAGCTCTGGGATGCTCATGAGAATAAATACTCCATGAAGTCAGGGACCTCGTCCATTTTGTTTCCTTTGCACCTAGACCATTTCAGCACATTAGAGATGCTCAGTAAATATTTGTTGAATAAAAGTAGAGAAAAATGGTCTACTGATAGGACCTGTGTACCTTTTCCTAGTTTCTACTTCAGTCAAGTCTGAAGAACAAGAGTAGTGGGAAGATAACTAAATATTGCTTATAAAAAACATGCTTTGATGGTTAACTGCTGATGTTTATGACATCAGCCTACTTCCCTGTATCCTTCCAGGCTAGTGAACTCAGAGTCTCAAGAAAAGAGTCCATTTGTCCCAAACTAAAGCACAGGGAAAGGGGCCTCACTGACTGAATAGGGAAGCAATATGGTGGGCTGAAGTCTGACTGATGGTTAAAATGTTTAAGTAGGCTCTCCTTAGAGTCAGCCAAGGCTGCAATGGCTGATGTTAGAGTAACTTATTTCACAAGTAAGACTAGCAGACTTACATATTCATATTTCATACCTATAGGAAGAAAGCAAAACCTAAGGGCACATGAACCACTGCTAAAAATGTGCCTCTAAACCAGGGCTTCAAACCAGTTTAAATCCCTGCTGAGAATCTGCATTTCTAACAAGTTCCCAGGAAGTTATACATAAGAATCACCTGGGGATCTTGTTAAAATGTAGATTCTGATTCAGTATACTTGGGGTGAAAATGCAAATTCTCAGTAGGGAACTTGTTAGAAATACAAATTCTCAGCAGGGGTTCGAACTGGAACGAACTGCTTCAAAGCCTTGTTAAACTGATAGCATGAAATTCAAATAGTTTTAGAACTTATTCTCACCTTTGCTAGACTGAGAAAGACAATTAATGAAAAATCATTTATTAAGGGTCTACAATGGGTGGGGCTGAGGGTAGGCTTTAGGGATTCATGAATGAATAACTCACAGTTAAGGCAGGTTAGTGTAGCAGTTTACATGTACTTTTCTGGATGTTATTACTTTTAACTACCTTAGACAGATGAAAAGCTGTTTCTTGAACATTTTTAAACTCACCTGATGAATTGGCACCGGAGTTTTGTTGACCCACAGAACTGTTTTGGCTTGTAGACTCTATAAAAATAAAGAAATATCCTGTTAGGAAAGCTCACTTAATATTTAACTAACAGCATGGCAATATGTTCCTTTCTGCCCCCGGGGTGGTGATGGTGTGGAGGAGGGAAGGTCTACTTTTGCCACTGTTGCTATGAAACATACCTTGAACCTGTCAGGAAATGTGGGACTGTTACTGGATTCTTCCAGACAGAAAACATTGAGCTGATGCAACAAACACACAGTGCTTACTATGTGCCAGATCCTGACTGGGTGCAACAGCTTTGCCAAAGTTCACTGACCCACATGCCGACACAGTGATTGATGACAGATTAACCAATTTCTGCTACTGATGCCCTGTTCTTCTAATTGGAGTGGGCTGTGTTATCCAGGGAGGAGCCCTTTCTACTCATGGGTGCCCCTAATCTTGTACCACCAACACCCCTAACTTCATACAACTCAGAAAAGATGAAAAAAACCAAACCAAACCCATAGCCATTGGGTCGATTCTGACTCATAGCAATTCTACAGAGAAGATGAAGTGGGTGGGATTTTCATTTTTAATTGTAAGCCTTCTCAGTATGATTCTTTTACTTTTTAGCTAGTACCTTAAGATTTGGAAAAGATTTAGAAGAATTCTATGTTCAGGTGAAGCAACTTTTCAGAGTGGTTTATTTACCTTGAGGTCTTTGTAAAATGGAAGATTGAATACATACATATACCAGGAGACAAAGTGTGTCTTTGCGTACTTTTCACAAAGATGAACTTCCTTCCTGCAAAAATTCCCTCAAAGTACAAAGAAAAGTAAACAATAACTTTTAAGGATCCATTTGTACTGTTGGTGCAAATTTCTTCCTCTTGATTGAACTATAATCCATTTATCACATCAGGATACTGTGTGAAGATTAAATTCAAAAAAGATAAAAGTCAGCAGACTATACAGATGTATTTGGCATGTTATCAAATAACTGCCAACATTATGAAGTGCTTACCATATGCATGTTACCTGTACTAGCTCATCTAACACTCCCTTCTAAACACTCACTTCTTCTAAATCTTTTCCAAATCTTAAGGTACTCATTAAAAATTAAAAGAATCATACTGAGAAGGCTTACAATTCTGTTGAGGTACTGTTTTGTAGTGAAGGGAACTAAGGCCCAGAGAAGGCCACCCAGGTTGTAAGTGGCTGAGTCTGGATTTGGCCCAGGCTGTTTGATTCCAAAGCCTGTCCATGTGAGTGCCAAAACGAAACTGTTGACTTTCTACTATCAACCTGCTCCTCCCCCAGGCTTCCCAGTTGTTGCATTACCAGTTGCTCAACCCCAAAACCTAAAGGTCATCCTTTGATTCCTCCCTTTTCCTCACCCTACTCTCCCCACCGTCCAGTCCCCTAGCTGAATTAGCTAGTGACTTCACTCCCCAAATTGCTCTCGAATCCATCCTCCCACCTCTATCACCACTTGCCATCATCTTTTGCCTGGACTACTCCAAGAGTCTCCTGAACTTTTCTCCCTGCTGTTGTCACTCTTGCAAGAGATGATTTCTTGACTTCTTGGTAACCTATCTGAATCCTTGAGTTTTGCATTTCTGAAGCCACCTCAATCCTGTGGCTTTTCAGTTTCAAGAGTCAAGAAAGTCTACTCCTTCCCTTAAGGTTGTGCAAGGTGAGTTTCTGTCACTTGCACCAAGAGTCCTGATTATTAATCTCACCTCCCCTTATATCTCATTGTACTACCACAATCTATCCTGTGTGTTGATTTGTTGACTTATTATTCACAGTCTTCCCCTTCCCCCAACTGGGAATATTTACAAAACTTTGCAGTACACTGTGAAGGATACTTCAAAAGAATTTTAACCATGTTTTTACCTTCTCCTACAATATTCTGGACAATGGCAATATTGTGAAATAAAAGATCTACCAGTATCTACTTTAATAGCCAACCATCTAATGTGGCTTAGTGGTGAAATGGTTAATTGAGAATTTGGATTCTGGGCTCTGAAATCAAATACGCATAAGGCAATTTACTCTGGATAAGTGAGATAACTTCTAAGCCTCAGCTTCCTATTCATTAAATGGAGATAATAATGCAAGGATTCAGTGGGATGGTATATGGAACTCAGTGTGGTGTGCGTAGGAAGAGCCCAGTAAAAATTAGCTATATAAGTTCTTGCATGGCTGTTAAAAATCACAATACTTCATAATGATACTTTAAACAGAGTACACACTGTATATGAAGTTTTGAAAGTTTCTGTAAACTAAAACATTTCCTTGCTCTCTTGAGAACTCCTGTATAGAAGCTTCTTCCACTCTAGTCTCAAGGTGACATTAGTCTGTAGAAATGGATTCCAGCTCACACTGGTGTACCAGTTCATGAAATCAGGGCTCTCCTATAATAGAGCATTCCAAGTTTTCCAAATAGCACCAACCTCTAGTGAGGCATTAAGTAATAAACAGAAGAGTAGAACAGTGAGAGTTAAAATAGGACAAAGAAAAAAAAAAAATCTGTGCTATGAGGGCAAAAGAAAAAAAACAAGGACAATCACACTGTTTCTCTAATTAGTAATTCATTAAAGAAACAGTAAAAAAGGGTTACTTTCACAAAGCAACAAATAAAAAAATGGAGACCTCCCCCCATAAATATTGGTATGAAATTAGCACCAAGATATACTGTTCATTCCAGATTGTCCATTTTTACAATAAAACATCTGATAACAGAATTGAGAATATGATGGATGCCATTGCACTGATCATTTTTATCTTAAATGACCTCAAAATTAGGCCTGCAAAGCTAGTTAGTCACATGTCCAATTTAGCAAAATATCATTATTGTCTAATTCACGAAGATTATTCTAGCAAAAGCAGGTGGTGTGCCTGAGCCGACTAGTTTTGCAAACTGCCTTCTTTGTCTTTTGTTGGGTAAACTAATCTAAGGATATATATAAAGAGCTGGATAGGAAGAATTTAAAACAATAAAAAACTTGATTCACTTGAAGTAACTATCCTAGTTTACAGACCATTATTACCCAGTGACCCTGATAATAGCGAACAAAAAGAAAACAGAATTTACACAGCAGACCCCAGCTTTCTGACCTTATCCAAAATACTTTTTAAAGTCCCCAAAGGGCCAAAAGCCTCAAGGGAAACAAAACCCCCCCACACAGAAAGGAAATGTCAAAATCATATTGTCATGAACTTATTGACGACGTGGTGGGTTCCTGACGATGGTGTAGCTGTGATTTTAAAAGGTGCATAGCTGACGCGTGCCACGACCAGTGTTTACGGCACAGGAGGGGACCTGGAGCAACCCCTCTACAGGGGCATAAGCCTCACCTGCGCCCCAGAGAGCAGGGAGCGCTCCCGAAAGGCTCCCAACAAGCTACTCTAGCCTAAAGTCGTCCTGCAGTCTAACTTTAAACGTCAAGAGGACCTTACGACTGTAAATCATTTGGGTGATATTACACAATTAGGCGATGAAACGCCAGGAAGAAGGGACGTCTGAAAGCTTCTCCAACTACCTAGTAGACATGTTTCTGCAAGAATCGGAAGACATATTTTCAACCCACTTAATCTGGTTTACAAACGCGGCCTCAGACAAACTCTAACCTCCCAGGAAACATTAACTTTTGGGAAAGGTTACAAAAACTAACTTGAGCTCGCGGCTGATGCCCAGTCCTGCTAACAACAGGTTATAAGCACTCCCGGTTGGGTTGCGACCGCGCTTCCAGAAAAACTCAGGGGAAGGGCCAGGTAATTTCTTTAGCAGGCAGCACCGGGGTAGGTGGGAGACGGGCCAGAGACTCAGTTTCCCCCTGTCCGTCCGGTCACCTCCGGGTCTGCCCGTGCAAACACGCAAAACTTTCCGCACGAGATTCCAACTTGGAAACCCTTGCCTCGGCAGCGCGCTTCCTCCCGGAGGCGGACTCGCGACTCTCGCAGCCACTTACCCGCCGACCCTGAGCTGTCCACGGCGGTCCCCAGCAGCGCTAGCACCTGCAGCGCCCCCAGGAGCAGCGCGGCCCAGACTCCTCGCGCGCCGAGTCTCATTGTTCCGAGGGCAGGACGTGGCGGCCGCGTGAGTCCCGAACCGAGGTGGCGGCAAGAGAGGGTGGCTTCTCCGAACTCCCGGCGCCCGCTCCGCGTTCCCTTCCGCCGCACGCGACTTCCCTCCCGCGCCTGCCCCCCGAATGACCAAATAGGGCGCGGGAACCGCGTTCGGAGGGGAAGACGCACGCCGAGCCCGGGTGGCGGGACGGGGCGGGGCCGGGATCGCGGGGGCGGGGTCTGGGGCGGGGCTGGCGCGCAGGGGCCGAGTTTCCGCTTCTGAGCGTGGTGACTCTTACCACGCCCTCCTCGGCTGATACGCTGCGGCGAGGCCCAGAGTGAGCAAGTCGTTTTATGTTCCGCAACCGCGGTTTTGTTGTCTCAGATAAAAGCGAGCGCCGCTACCTCTCTGGATACTGAGCACGCCCGGCTTCGCTCGGCCCGGAAGGAAGTCTTTGAAGAGTAGTTTTCAGGTGGGGGACGAGGGTGCGTGCGACTTTGAGTGAGAGAGGGAAAGTTGCAGATTCCATCTGAAGGGTCCTGGGTCTTCAGAGCTTTTTTCTTAGGTGACCCAACCTAATGGGGAATGTGTTGTTAGCTGCCCTCAAGTTGGTCCCCAACTCATGCACAGCAGGATGGGACTGCTGTGATCCATAGGGTTTTAATTGGCTGATTTTGGGAAATGGATAACCAGGCCTTTCGTCATAGTTGGTCTTAGTCTGGAAGCTCCAGTGGAAGCTGTTCAACATCACATCAGCTTGCAACTCTCCACTGACAGATGAGTGGTGGCTGCGCTTGAGGTGCGTTGGTCTGGAATAGAACCCAAACTCTGCAAATTCATTGCTGAAGTTTATATGTAAAACATCCACCAGCTCCATACCCCCAAATTGTACCTCATCTTCTCACCAGCCTCCCTTTATTTCTGGATAAAGACACGTTCGTGCCATGAGAAATGAGTAAAGTGAAAGTGAGAGAGGGCAGAGAGGTTTGTAGTTATTCGCAAGAAAGTATGGCCTCCGTTCTCTCCTCGGTGTCTGTTGTCCTAGTTCGTATGGAATAATCTGTTTTAGAACAGTTTTTGTCTGAGTCCCTAAGTCCTTAGAGCCAATGGTACTCACTTGCCTTGATTTGCAGTATTTCAAAGTCTGAATTTTATTTCTGCTCAGAACATTGAAGTGGCATGTAGCGACTTGTGGTAGATGTGGGAGAACAACCATCATTGAGCCTTGGTTTGGGTGGGAACCCTCAGCGGATGTGGAAGACCGAAAGTTCTAGTGCTTCTAAAATGACCTTGAATCCCACACCTGCAGTGCTCTAAAAGTCTCATTACTTTGCCATGTGGCTCAGACTTTATGACCTAAAGGCCCCAACATTGCAATTAAGTTCCCAAAACTTTGTTGCGAGAGATAGTACTTTCTGATCTCACACAAATCTATCAGTATGGACATGACTGATCATAGAGATTAACTGGCACAGTCTGTTCTATTTACAAAGACTTCCATCATGGATTCAATCAACCAACCTGCAAATACTCCCTGGCATCTACTGCCTCCAAAAGCAAGCACTGCACATTTGGCTTTTGGTTACTCTATTTTTTCGTAGAATCTTGTTTGGGGATAAATTGTTCTGGTGACTACCTAGTCCATTATCCAAGTATTCCATAACCCAGGCTGAACCTGTCTTTCCAGCCTTTGTTCTGCTGTTCTTTCCCCTGGAGAACAAGGAATGAAGCACAGGAGCCTTCTCACTGCTCGTAAACAAGGGTGCGATCTGGCCGCCTGGCATTTGCATGCTGTGCTCTCTCTTTCTGAAATGCATTCCTCCATTCTCTTCACTGACCCACATCTAACACTTCGTTTAAGGCTCAGTGTATGTCTACCCCGGGGAATCTGCAGTGGAATAAGGGGTATCTCCGAAAGTGAAATAAGAGTATGGAACACAAGATATCTACTTGGCAATTTCACCTAGGACTGACCTTGATGGACATTCCTTCAGTTCCCATTCTCTGGGTTCTGATTCCTATACCCTGGGTGGGAGTGGGTGTGCCCAACTTACTTTGATAGTAATGCAGTACAATGCTCAGGACTGGCCATGTTTTCTCTAGTCTGAGGACAGGTAACTGTGTCCCTTCTGACACCTTAGAAATCCCTTTGGGAGGTCAGGGCTCCCTGAGGGAAGATCTAGCCCCAGATTTGTATGAGGCTCTGCCCCCATCACTGCATCAACATTTTATTTTGGTGACACAAAAAGTTAAAAGAAAAGCATGGGCAGCCTGTGGCAGTCTAGCTCTTCCTTACCTTTCCAACCTTACATGTAGATCCCTCTTTACAACCTCACCAGACCACTCCAAGTTGTTGAAACATGCAAAGGACTTCCATGCCCTGGTGCCTTTGCTCCTACTCTTCCTTTTGCTCAAGATGCCCTCTGACGTCTTCTGGACAGTTTTCACTCATCCCCCAAGATTCCCTTCATATCTCAGCTTCTCCTCAACCTTCTGGGCAGATTTTAATGCTTTTTGCCCTCTGCCTGGGATTCTTTCTTTCTGTGCTCTCCAGATTCCCATCATCCTTCTAAATCCAACCCCAGTGTCATTATTTGCAGAATTTTCAGAAGGGGGAAAAAAGTTGCTCTCGAGTTGTTGCTGGCTCATGCTGATCACATGTGTCTCAGAGTGGATCTGTGTTCCACTGGGTTTTCAATGGCTGATTTTTTAGAATTATATCACCAGACCTTTCTTCTGAGGTGTCTCTGGGTGGACTCAAACCTTTAACCTTTCACTTAGCAGCCGAGCGTGTTAACTGTTTGCACTACCGAGGGACACAGATCTACCTGCCCCACAGAGTCAGACCCCAGTGAGTGGTTTAAAAATGAGTTGGCTTCTAGATAGGAATGGTAGAAACTGCTTCTGTTATAACTGTACAAAAGATACAGATATCATGTTTTCCCACTGAAACATGTTATATTCCACAGTAAATTTTTATTCATTTAAAAGAAAGAAGTGATAGAGGAAGGCTCATCTGGTTTGATACTCACACATAATTACCTTCTTCTTGTTGTTAGGAGCTGTTGAGTCAATTTCAACTCATAGTGACCCCATGTGACAGAGTAGAACTGTCCCATAGGGTTTTCTAGGCTGTGATCTTTACGGGAGCAGGTTACCAAGTCTTTCTCCTGTGGAGCCACTGGGTGGATTTCAACCTCCAACCTTTTGGTTAGCAACCCAGCACTTAACCATTGCGAATTACCTTCTAGATATGAATAAATCGGTCTGTTGACAATCAATATTTGCATAAGGAAAGAAGCAGAATCTGCCTGGCTTTGAGACTGTGAGTAAGGCAAGGCAGTGGAAAGATTTAACAAAAGATTATACGTTGGCCGGTGTCCATTTCCCTGATTCTGCCAATTTTCTGCCTCAACTTCCATTTTAGCAGTGACAGCATGTTATAAATTGTCATTAAGTCTTCGCAGTGAAAGTTGATCGTACTGGGTTTCTTCTCCCTTCTACCTCTACTTCCTTTTCCCTGCATTCTCGAGCCCCTAGTTTTCTTGCACATTCTTCTTCCCTCTCCTTTTAGTTTTTCCTTCATGTTGCATTCATCAGAGTCCAGTCTGTGGCCAGACTATGAAATCATTCAATTAATCAATGAGAATTTATTATTATTATCTATTTTGTGTACAGGAGCCCTGGTGGCACACTGGTTAAGTGCATTTGGCTGCTGAGAGGTTGGTGGTTCAAACCCACCCAGTGGCTTTGTGGGATAAAAGACCTGGCGATCTGCTCCTGTAAAGATTACAGTCTACAAAACCCTATGGAGAAGTTCTGCTTTATCACTTGGGGTCGCTATGAGTTGAAATTGACTCAATGGCACCTAACACCAATTATGTATTCAACATTGTAGGGGATTCTCAGATTAAGACAGTGGAAGTAAAAATAAAACAAAAACCTTCTCCGACAGAGATCGCAGTAGAAGCCCCTGGACAGAGCTGGAGATAAGTGTAGAACAAAATTCTAACTTACAACAAAAAGACCAGGCTTACTGATCTGACTGAGACTGGAGAAACCCCAAGAGTATGGCCCCCAGACACCTTTTTAACTCGGTACTGAATTCACTCCTGAGGTTCACCCTTCATCCAAAGATTAGACAGGCCCAAAAAACAAAATGAGACTAAAGGGGCACATCACCCCAGCGGCAAGGATTAGAAGGTAGGACGTGACAGGAAAGCTGGCAATGGGGAACCCAGGGTTGAGAAGGGGAGAGTATTGTCAAGTTGTGGGTTGGCAACCAATGTCACAAAACAATATGTGTATTAATCGTTTAATGAGAAACTAATTTGCTCTGTAAACCTTCATCTAAAGCACAATTAAAAAAATCTTAAAAAATAAATAAATAGAACAAAAACCAACAAAAGGTAAAAAAAAAAATATGCAGAGAACAATAAAATCCTACACAATTTCATTTTCCTTTTAAAACAAGGAGATCAGAGAAGAAAGTCTTTTGGGTGGACTGAAATTTTTAAGGGATGACTTCTGAAAAAGGGTGAGAATTGTGTCTGAATCCTAAGGATTTGGCTAGGTGAGGGTGAATTTTCAGTGTCCATTCTGGGCAGGATTATGTGGTGCTATGGGGACAGTGGAGCCCTGGTGGCACAGTGGTTAAGAGCTTGGCTGTTAACCAAAAGATTGCCAGTTTCAATCCACCAGCTTCTCCTTGGAAACCCTATAGGGCAGTTCTACTCTGTCTTATAGGGTCGCTATGAGTTGGAATCGACTAGATGGCAACAGGTTTTTTGGTATGAGGACAGTAGCAAGATGAGAGATCTGAGTTCGGAGGTTTCTTGTCAGTGGGTGTAGAGAAATCCCATGGGCCTTTCCACTGTTAAGTCCCAGGTTATTTATCAGCTCCTACTTTGGCTCTTTTTTTTCCTCTTTCTTCTCTGTAGATAGCTACAGGGATTCAGTTTCCTTTCCTTTCCAATTTAACTACCATCTACCTTATCCTTTCATATGGAGTTTGTTCTAAGTATCCAGGCCATTCTTCCTTGCTTCCCAAGCACTTACCATATTGAGGCTTTCATTGCGAATCACAGTGGGGAAATTGACAGATAAAATAGCTATTGTGGTGCAGTTAAAATAAATTCTGAAATCTAATAAAGTTCTTAGGATCTTGATCTCTGCTGAATATTTCCTATGTCTCAGTTAAGAACTGGAAGACTAAGGCTCTCCATCCATTCAATCAACAAAAGTTTGAGTACCATCCATTCTCTCTTCTAGGCAAAACTGACATGGGGGCAGAAAAACAAGTTTAAGAAAAAAAACAAAACCCACAAGAAACAGCTGGAAATAAGTGTTGATTCCGACTTATGGTGACCCCATGCGTGCAGAGTACAGCTGCTCCAAAGGGTTATTCATGGCCATGACCTTTTGGAAGCAGATCACCAGGCCTGTCTTCCAAAGCGCCTCTGGGTGGGTTTGAACCACCAACTTCTCAGCTAGTAGTCCAGTGCTGAACCATTGACACCAACCAGGGATTCCTTTTCTTTAAGTAGGTAACAGTTAAAACCGATTCCTTAAAAATGAGCCATGTGAAGGCCAGGGGAAGTACATTTCAACAAGCGTGATGTGTTGGGGAATAGAAAGGAGGCCAATGTAGCTAAAGCTTAGTGAGTAAAGCAGAGAAGTACAAGATAAGGTCAGGAGCCATATCTTGTAAAGCTTTGAAGATAAAGAGTTTAGAGTTTATTTTAAATATGATGGAAAGCCATTGTAGAGTTTGGGCATGATATGTTCTGATACAGTATATTTTTAAAAGATCATACTGGATTCTATCGAGAGGAACAAGAGTGAAAACAGGAGACCAGTTAGGAGGTTATTGTTTGG